CACACACACACACACACACACACACACACACACACACACACACACACACGCGCAGGCAAGCACCCAAACACGCACACGAGGAGTCCCCTCCCTCGCTCAGCAAACTCCGACAGGAGAGGCAGCAAGATTAGTTCGTGTAGGTGATCGGCCAATGCCTTAGAAGAGAGGCGTGTTCATGAACACCGACCTTGCCGACACGGAGCTTGACGACCGTGGATGGCCGACATCTACGGCCTACATGCACTCCTACTATGTTCACTTGCTAGCGCGCAAGCCTCCGCCATAACAAATGCCCTCCGCAAGCGTCCATCTCCCGCCAAAACCAATTTGGTGCAAACGAACAAACCGCGCCTCACGGAGTGCGAGGCGCGCAAAATTTGAATATGAGAAAAGAAGGCAAAACAAATACGAAAGACGAGTCCGTTGTCCGCGTAGCACGCGCCTCCGCTGCCAAACACTCCCCGCCTTTGTACCCAACGGCAAGATCGAGGGCCTGGACCCACCCTGGTCCCACCTGTAAAAGACGGGACCGTTTTCCACCGTTCATTCGAAAAATCGACGCCCAAAAGTAAAGAATCGGTCTAAGGGCCTCGATGCACCACTAGTCATCCTCCAAGATTTTGAATGCATGTAGACATTTCCGTTGTCAAGATGCATTCGAAAATGTTGGCGAATGACAAGGGGTGCAAGTAGGCCGGAAGTAGGACATCGGCCCCGCCGGACCGGGGACAAGAAAAAAAGGAAAAGGGAAAAAGGAGAAAGGAAAGGAAAGAGCCGTCTTCTCCCGCCATGGCTGAAATTCGTTGCGAAGCGCGGAGAAGGCGGGGTGTGAGTGACAGTGCGAACGGGACTTGCCGCACGAGTCGGGAAATGTGAAAACGACAAAATCTGTGGCGCGTGAATCTGACTTTGTACTTGGCTGGTATACACTCTTTACTTTTATTTACCCCCTGAAAGAGTGGGCTTCTTCAACGGTTTGTTTCCCTTTCCGCCGGTAAGCCCCTCCCTTCACCGAGACAGGTAGATCGCTATTCTTGCAGGGGTCCCCTGTATAGCCTTAGGAGCACTGGTAGGTAGGTCGCGAAAGATGAAAGGGTTTTTTTTTTTTTTTTTTTTTTTTCCCCACATTCAATTTCATTTCAAAACGTCACTTATGTTGATAATTTGTGCATTCGGGTAGTTGGCTATAAGCCCAATTTTGCGGTGCCAAAAAAAAAAGAAAAAAAGAAACGTCACTTGAAACGAGGCCCCGGGGCCAAGTCCCACTTACCCGAATGATCCATTTCTGACCGCAGATTCGGAAGATCGACGACCAGAAATCAAGGATCAGCGTAAGTGGGACTTGGCCCCCGGACCTCACAATTCAACCCAATTACAAGATGCATACCCAACTGCCCTCCTACTTCAGTCTACTACTCCTACCTATTCCTGAAGTACCCCTACCTTCCACTTCACAGACCTAGGCGCCGGTCCGAACTCGGCCCAAAACGACCGAGAGGAAAAGGACGACAATCCAACTAACCAGATATCTGACCTACCATCCCCCTGGCTTGAAGTTTCGGAAAAAAAAAAAAAAAAAAAAAAAAAAGAGCAAGCAACATTAACGAAAAATAGGGAGGTATCCCTTTCCCAACCTTTATAAGAGTCTAGATCTAGAACAACATCCTATCTCCATTGTCAATGATAAGAACCCAAGAAACTTCCTACCCTAAGGTATGACCATCTCAAGAAACAAAATACCAACCCTGTGTTCCTTTTTTTTTTTTTTTTTTCAAACAAGCACCCCTTCCAGTGCTAGTGCTGCTGATAAGAGCAGACAGCACTATCACCGGAGGAGAGGCTCCATCTATTGGTGGGGAGCGTCACCTGCTGGAAATCGGGTCCAGCGTCCCATTTTACAGCAAAACTGGAACCAATGACTGTAAGTAGCTGTGGGACCTGCCAGCACAACCCTGTGTTCCTACTTTAGCCAAATTAAGAAAAAGGTCTCACTTTCTATTGCAGCTAAATGGCTACGTACGCCTGGTCGTTGAGTCAGCGCATTATTTAAGAGCAAGCAAAATTTGGTAGCCTATGGGCCTCGCCGCACGGTGCAAGAAACGAAAAAAAAAACGACTTCGTTTCGTGAAGTCGTCGCCGCATAGCACCCACACGAACTGTGTCAGAAAAAACTCGTGAATGCTGTCAGCCTCCGAGTTCGCGAGGCCTCACGAGTGTGCCGACTCCTCCCTGTCTGCAGCCCTCGCGAACTCGTAGGTCCTCCGCTGGTAGGCTGGAGGAGATGCGAAATTTCACGTGTGCTGCCTCGCTCAAAAAGAAGTCCATCCAAGAACTTGGACCGTAGCGTCCACAAATTTGGACTTAGCGAAGCGAATCCCCCACTGCTGTCGCCAGGGCGTTGTCGCTAGAGTTTTTGTGTGTGCTGTGGGGCGGTGAGGCAAACGGCGAGGCCCTATCTACGGCCTAATTGAATTGAAAGTTACATCCTTTCTGTCAACTGTTTTCCTGGAGTAGCCAATCTGCAATCTGCAAATTGCAAGTCCCCTTCCCCAGAAATTGAAACAAAAATTACAAAATCCTTGGATTTTCCCCAAGTCTGGGAGAACCAGTATCGACTTTTTTGGGATTGAGAGCCAGAGAACCAATCCGCTCTGATTGTTTGCCTAATCAGGGTCTTCACCACAGATACCTGGGCTGGAAGGTTGTCTTCTCTTGTTTGAAGGTAGGTTGCTTTGTTCCGCGCCTTCCACAGGACCTTCCACAGGACCTCCATAACAGCCCCTCTACAGGCCAAAGCTACATATGCCCAGCCCGTTGAGAAATCCAGGTCTGGGGAAGCCAAACCGTTTTTTTTTTTTTTTTTTCTGAGTGAAGAATATGGTGTAGTTTTATTTATCCTCTAATGTAACTATGTAACTAATGGGCCTCAGGGCATACTAACACGACGACTTTTTTATTTTTGTTTTTTCTTGGACGTGATCACGTCCAGATGCATCCAGGTTTGTAGCTGTAATTGAAGGCTGGCTGATGCATTTCGAGAGTGCTACTGTGAGTATGCCCTCAGCTCAGCTGGTACACCCACGAACTAATGGTCCCCTGCGCTGTTGGCGAACAGTCGCAACATGTGCGACACCTTTCAGAGGCTCGCCGCCCATTCTCGCCGCTCATTCCCTCTCATACTCCCAAAAAGCGAAAACGACAAAACTACGGCGGCCGTATCTGACCGCAATCTGCAAGGAGATACATTTTCCATTTTGCTCATTTGGTGAGACTACCTGTAGTGCGGCGAGGCCCCCTCAGGCAGCGTGGGCCTGCGTACTTGGACCCCTTTTCCAACGTTCCCCGTCGCTAACGTGTTTTTTTATTTATTATTTTCCCTTTTCATTCATATTAATTCATTTAATTCTTTACTTCGGTCGAACGTTTCTTCTGTCCTTTCGCTGTTTCCTCCAGGGGCCAAGTCCCACTAGCAGCGTTGAGCTACCTGAACGCCTGAATCTGGATGCTTTTGCGGAGATGTGCAAAAATGGTGTTGAGTTTCCTGAACTGCACGTCTCCACAAACCCGTCCAGATTCGGGGATTGAGGTAGCTCAACGCTGCCACCGGGTAGTGGGACTTGGCCCCAGGGATATCCCGGTAAAATCGGGTCGTCTGCTTCCTGTCCCGCCGCCGCATCGATTGTTTTCGCAGTGATCCCGCCAACCGGCCATTTTCCTTTTATGAAAGAACCGGCCATTTTCCTTTTATGAAAGAACCGGCCATTTTCTCAGTGGTGGTCCCGCCAAGCGGCCATTTTCTCATTTTCTCAGTTTTCTCAGTGGTCCCGCCAAAAGCGGGGCAGTATAGAAAAAAAAAAAAAAAAAAAAAGCGGGGCAGTCGAGCGCAGGCAGCCCACGACGTGTAAAAGGGTACTTGACTTGACGAAAAAAAAAAAGGCGGGTTCGAACCATGGACCATTATGGTTTGGTCGGCCCTTCTGCGCTTACAGGCCGTCGAGCGCAGCCAGCGCGAATGACCTCTTTTGGAAGGTTCGAGCCGTGGACCTCTACCTAGTTGGGTTGGCTTTCTTTTTTTTTCGTTTTTTTTTTAAATCGTTTGGTTGGCTTTCTGCCCGTGTGTGTGGGCGTCCACACTAACGGCACGCTGGATTGCGCCAAATCTTCACGCATGTGACTGCAATCACGTCCGAGTCCAAAAAAGGCCCTATTTAAAGAAAAGAAAAAAAAACAAAGGCCCTATCGTGTGATGTGAGTAGGGGCCTCGCTGCCCTACTCTGCAAATGTGCAAAATGAGAATGAATCTTGTGCTCGAGTATGGAAAGATGCACCGCCTTTCTTTTTTTTTCCTTTTTTTTCTTTTTTGCATGTGGAGAGTAGCGCAGCGAGGCCCTATCGTGTCCTTATGCTCTTCCCTTTTCGGGCTCCATTTCATCCCATCCCCCTCGTGTACCGATGCAAAAAAATGGGCCCACGATGGGACCAAACGCAGGTCGACTCCTTCCCATCGTCCTGTCACAGCTAGCGGGCGTGTGTGCGTATGGCCGTTATCGGCCTCTTCGTACATCGTACAAGGTTTTCTTTTCGTGCCAATTAGGGCCTACCTACAGTAGTCGCACTACTCGCCATCCGCCAATATTTTGAATGTGCATGAACAGCAATTATGTCCAGATACATTCCAAATGTTGGCGGATGGCGATGTAGTTGTGGGTTCTGTATTATAAGAGCGTGGTCCGAGTATCAGACCGCACAGACCGCAACTATCGCCGGACATAGGGCCTATGCAGTTGCACTACTCGCCATCCACCAATATTTGGAATGTATCTAGACTCCTTTACATCCAGATGCATGCACCATGTTGGCGGATTGCGAGTACTGCAACCAGGCCCATACTCAGACCGCAATTATTGCCCGAGTCCTCGTACAAGCGTGAACCCAGAATCTGACCACTCACCGCATCAGAATCCGGTGTTATAAAAAAAAAAACAAAAAAAAAAAAAGAAAGAATCCGGTGTGCGCCATGGTAGGGATAACGCCGATGTCAGAAGGGAGGGGCCTCATGGGTAAGCGGGTAAGACACACAGAAGAATCCGGGGGCAAGGTCCCACTTGCACGGATTAAGAGATTCTGGCCGTTGATCTTTGCAATCTACGGTCAATATCGCTTAATTCGTGTAAGTGGGACCTAGCCCCGGGACGGCCAACGCCATCGCCCTCTCGTAGGCGTCGGACGTGTGAATGCACGTTCACCCCGTTAGTCTTTTTGCCCCGTTAGGCCCGTTGGTTTCCTCTGTCCTCTCTTTGCGGAGTGTACCCAAAATAGGGGGCACTGCCAGTTCGTTCAGGAATATCTGGGCAACACCTTAGGGCTTGGGCCAGGCCCTATTCCAATGGATGGTATCTCTGTCTTCCAGAGGCATGGAACAGCAACGGGCCCAGCTCAGTTGGTTCTATGGGGTACGGTTCCACTAGCAAAGTTGGTGCAGCCAATGAACTGTTGAAACGCAGACCGGAGTTCAAATCCAGCCGCAATCAGATGAACAGAATATATGATACCTGGGGAACGGCTCCACTAGCAAAGGAGTAAGGTAAAGTGTATCCCACAAACACTTGTGGGACATCGGCCGGGACATCGCCCGGCCGTTGGTGTGGGAAAATAGGATGGCCGCAAAATCACGATTCCTTTATATTTTGAAAATCTTCTCTTATTTTGTTTTTGTTCTTTTTATCTTTTGAAACCACCAGTACTTGGGCCAGCTATTGGCCGCGGAAAATTTATAGTCGGATGAATTTGGGCGCTCCTGTAGTGGCCCCTACGTTTCCTCAAATTGTGGCTTGTATGCCGGGACGACTTTAGGAAGTACTGGTAGTTTAAACCACGAGTACTTGGGCGACGCCTTAGCGTTAACGCTACGGGAATTTCGCTACCGGTGGGCCGTCGATAAATCGTATCGACAGCCCGCGCCGCTTCAAAAAAGGTGCGGCCGCCGCGGCGCGCAGTGCCCAAGTACTGGTAGTTTAGTTGCGTAAACTGCTGTGTTACCAGCCGGGTCGCCCGGGTGCCCCGGCTGGGCGAGCTCCGGGAAGAGTCCCGGTCAAGGTCCAGGGCAGTCCCAGCGCAAAAAAAAAAAAAAAAAAAAAAAAAGGCTGGAAAAAGAAATGTCATGCAGAATTGCAAACCAAACATGTTTTGCCTGAGGGTGACCATGAAATTCGGTATGGAATCCAAAATAAAAACTAAAACACTAAATTATATCATACTTTCGAGCGCTTTCGAACCCCGCTTATACCCCATAGACACCCTTTGGTGAGTATTTGGGCATGTCTCAGTGGACGCAAAATTCTCCCACTGAATGGGGAAAAAAAAAAAAAAAAAAGTGTCGACCTGGGCGGGTCACTCCTCGTGCAAGTTCAACCGGGAAAGGCGAGTCTGGTAACATAGGTAGAATGGGAGGCCGGAAAAAATATAGAAAGACTCATTCTGATTGGTAGTACTTGGAACAAGAAAAAAAATAATACTCGAAGGGGTTGATATTGACTGCTTTTTTTCCCCGGTCGATTGGAACTTCATGGAGTACTTGTTGTTTTCCTCAAAATATAACAACTGCACGCTTGAACCACCAGTACTTGGCCCGGCTATCAGTCGCGGAAAATAATAGAGTAGAAACATTTATAGTCGGATGAATTTGAGCACCCCTGTAATGGCCCGTACGTTTCATAAAATTATGGCTCGATTACAGGCCCGACGATAGGAATAACTGGTGGTTTGAGAATGGAAAACGTCACAGAAGGGAGTTCCCTCGGGCACACTGAGGGACTCCCTTTGCGGTGGTACGTGAGACTGCAACCGTCACATACCACTCCGTCCTCATTGGGCATTGGCGGGGTGGGGAGGAGCAGAGGGAGAAGATGAGAGGGTGAGTGCGCGAGGAGTCCCATAATGAAAGCACGAACCACAGCCAAGCACCCAGTACGATCACATGAATCTGAACGTGGATTTCGCAGAGATGCATAGCATCAGGTATATGAACTTTCCATCAAACACGTTCAGATTCATGCGTTGAGTGTTTGTCCCCCACAAGGGCCCAATCAAGCAGTGAATCGGTTGTCCTCATTGGGTGTTGGCGGGGTGGAGAGGGGAGGAGGCAACATCCGCATCAAGCACCAAATCGCTCGAGTATTGGGACCTCTAACGTAGTGATTTTTATTTTTTTTTGTCTTTCTATAGGTGTCGCATGGGTTTGAATAGGCCACAACTCGTGTCCTAGTGCAACTGTGCCCCCAACGCCGATCAGCTCATAGTTTTTATTTATTTTTTTAAAGGTCATCGCCTTCGATCGTCACCCTTTATAAAAAAAACGGGGTGGAAAACCATGGAAGTAATATTGGGGTGGTTGGTTCGTGCTTTCCAAGCAGGAGCATAGCATGAGTGCGGTCTCCAGCTTACGCTCTTACTTTTTTTCGAGAGAAACAAAAGTCTTGACTTCGAGAGAATACGGTGATAAGAATCGTCAAATACATCCAGGGAAGTTCTAACTCACACTTCCAAGGATATGTATGATCAGATGGACGTTGGAGCCAGTTTCAGACAAGTGAAGCACCCAAACAATAAATTGGAGTCATCACTGATCATGTTCCCAAGTCATTGTTGTTTTTTTTGTGATGCAGAAGACAGGATGGAAGTGGGGGTTAGAAGGGGTAAGTGTTGTCATGGGTCGTTGAAAATTTGGAGTGAAGGACATTCGAAATTTAGGACCAATCATTAGGAAAACAAGGAAGTTGGTGGGGCTTCACTGCAATTTCATTTGCACGCTTGCACGCACAGACACCTTTTTCGGTATGTGTTGACCTTTGTGCAAGCACAACATAGGTATTGGACCTATACTCCCTGATACGGTACAA